TCACTTCAAATACTGAAATTATTGTTTCAAATACAATTTATTTGACTTGAATAAAATTTATTTGATTCAAGTAAATATCTATTTGATCATAGACAAGTAATCAGTTATTTGAATAAAATAAATTTTTTTTTACTGTATGGCTACGAGGTCAGATGGTCTAATTGTCAGCTAATAAAGGTTAAGCATTCGATTCCCGGTATGGCGTAAAATTTGTTATCTGAATCTATATACCTTAAACTGATGATTATGATTTATTTATTAAAAATAAATTATTTTCTGATGATTTTCATTATTTTATCTAACGTAAATAAGAGTATTCGTTCTTCGCTCCATCTGAAATTTTTAAGAGTGGGGAGTGAAACTTTTTAAAATTATGATCCAATGTAAGCGTTATTTTTTCATTGAAGCTATATAGACTGCTGCAATAAAAAACAGCAGTAAAACGCAGTCTATATACTGTACCGATAAAAAATGTGTATCTTGACTACTATTTTTAGGACATTTATACGACTTTCATTTCCTGCTCCTAAAATTGCTTTTTGTTTCAAAACGAAAATTCTCCAAAATCGCTATTTATCGAAAGCTGCTTTTTTCACAATCATTGTTTTCTTTTTCTTCTTCATATTAATGTTATTATTATTATTTATTTTTTTGCACTCAGAAAAAAATTTGTTTGAAACAATCCAAATGGTGGTTGAATCAATCAAATAAAGGCAGTGCTTTAATAACATTGGTTTGATTCAACTACAAATTTGTTTCAGATGATAAATTCTTTCTTCGCATGCAAAAATTATTAAACTGAACCAAACTTTTATTTAAATTAAACAAATATTTATTTAGATTAAACAAACTTTATTAGGAATAACCTAAAAATAAGGTTTATATACAAAAAACATTTGTTTGATTCAACTACAAATTGAGGAGTTGTATCGAAGAACTCGCTCGACGCTCGAACAAAAGGGATAATACCAGTCAGGCAGCAGTGAGGGCCTGTGGGTCGTTCACTGCTACCTGGCTGGTATTATCCCTTTTGTTCGAGCGTCGAGCGAGTTCTTCGATACAACTCCTCAATTTACTTCAGATGAAAAAATTCTTTTTCGAAAGCAAAATTTATTAAACTGAACCAAATGTTAATTTAAATCAAAAAAATATTTATTTAGATTAAACAAACTTTATTTAGAATAACCTAAAAGCAAGGTTCATACAACAAAATAGAAAATTAAATTCAAACACAATTTTTCTTCTCGGCATATTATTATTATTTTTATTGCTTTTTGTTACCAACCGCAGTAAAATTTATTATTATCGTAAAGAAATAATCATCCTCATTGTTACAACAGAAATTATTGAAACCTTTTTTCCAAAAGATAAGTGAAAAACTGAAATAATTTTCCAAAAAAATAAGCGAAAAGTTAAAATAATTCTCCCCAAAAGAAAAACAAGTAAAAAATTAAAACAATTTTCAAAAAAAAAAAAAGGATGAGACATAAAGGTGGAAAAAAAGCTTTCTTCTACAACTGAAAATTGATCCATATCTTATAAAAAAAGCACACTTTTTTCTCCATTTTGCTTTCTCCTATACATATACAGACATAGATGAAAGAGATGAGGAAAATTTGAGAGTGGGGAGTGTTGAATGAGGACTCGTGGTTTGAGACTAAAAAGGGGTGGGAAAAGCCCCATTGGATGAAAGGGTCAAAACGTAGGGGTTAGTCTACTCGACGAACTGCGTCCCCAATCGATATTTACGCGGAACGAATCCCCGTTCACATAATATATAGTTTTTAGGGGCATCAATGACATAAATTCATTGAAATAGTATACGGTATAAATATATGCACAACTATACGTACAGTGTGCATTTTTAATAAATCATGAAAACTATCACATCATGAATGATCATTATATTTGATGGAAATATAGTAAACGCCAGTATACAATGGCTTTATTATCAATGAAGTCACTCTCCAGTGACTAAAGAAAAATCTCATTCAATGAAAGGAGTAGTATTCTATATAGATATATTTATGAATATTTTCTATTATATCATTTATGTACGGAAATCAGCACGATGATGATTACATTAAAAATTACCGTATCTTCACTGTAATTTTTAATTTAATTAATGCTTGTAATTAATTATTGGGAATGCAATAGAAAACCAAAAATTGAAATCGATTGTAGTATATTGGTTTTGTAATTTTTGTTTGCTACAAACTAGTTCCTAAAAATATTTAATGTAATCTTACACTAAAAAGAATGGATGATAAAAAGATGATGCTTTATTGTAACAATGATTTAATATTATATTGTAAATATTGTTCTTATTTTAATATTATAGTAGTAGTAGTAGTAGTAGTAGTAGTAGTAGTAGTAGTAGTAGTAGTAGTAGTAGTAGTACTACTACTTATTGTATTATAATTAATAGTCATACTGCTATATCAATTAATTAATTATAGAAGTAGTAGAAGCACTGTTAATTATATTATAATTACTACTACTAATTAAGCAATTCAACCGAACAGTTAAATTGGACAATTTTACTTGATCCGGTAACAGAAAAGTTTTGTTAATTCATAAAAAATATTAACTTCATCATAATTTACATTTTAGTATTGCTCGGAATGTGCTCTTGTTTTGCAAACATAAGCGTGATTGTATAGAAAAAGTAAATAAAGAGGGGACGAATGAGGGACGAGTGAAAAGTGATTATGTTTAATATTCGAGTAACTGCATTATTTGACACGTGTTACCGAGTGACACATGTGATCTATTACGAATAGTTAAAATTAGTCAAAATTTTGAATCAAATTAAAATAATTAAAAACTCCAGCATTTGGTTTTATTTTTTTTTTAAATGTTCTGTATGTATATATATATCACCCACACGCTCCTACGGAAAATGCTAATAATTCTATTTCCTTATATATACCTTTTCTCTTAACTGTAAATGCTCTAACCGACTTCACTCTTGTCGCTTCAATTAAGCATGAAACGCTATTATTGGGCCTATTCTATTTCCTGTCCTCATATGTAGTACCTATTCTACAACCACGACCACGACGTCTTCCACCATCATCATCATCATCATCATGACCATCATCATCTATATATATGAACTCACTTTTATATATGCTACTATTTTATTTTGAGCATGAAATTATCAGCAACAGTATTAATTTATCGCACTGGAAAAATGCGTTGTATTATTTTTATGTCTCATACCTCTATAGGTAGGGGTAAACATTGCTTCTTTTTTTCTATTATCATATTTAAAATAAAACACGTGGAAATATTTACAGCATACGTAAATTTTTCATAAAATAAAACTATCGTCAAATAAACCTACACAAAGAAAAGAGAACTGTTAATATAAAACTAACAAATTTCAAATGTTGTTGCAACAATATTTTTTGTTGCTTAAACAAATATAAAGTGGAATCTTAATTATCAGGAACCTGGAGCAGGACCTGGTTCAGATAATAGAAACTGCAAATATTTGTTTATAATTATGGATAAATGAATTTTTTTAAACTTATTTTACCTCTACTTGCTCGATGTGCATCACTATAAATTTTTGTACCGATAAATGTAAAAAATGATGTTTTGGGTTTAAGATGACGGATTCGGATATTCGAGGTTCCACTGAATTGTTATTAAAACAAATCTGAATCATTAGAGTAAAAAAAAAAATAGAAACGCTAATTATAATTCAAAAACAAACAGGTTTTTGAAGTTAGTTGGCCTCGACGAACCACGAAACCGAAAATAATCAAACAATTTTTACAGAGGTTTTTTTTTAATTTTCTAACTTCTTAGGTAAATGAAAAAGGTGTAATTATAGTGACATTTGAATCTCTAAAACTTTCAAATAATATTTTTCGACCATGAGCGTCGATGCCAACTTGAGGGACGTTAACAAACAAAAAATTCATAAGTTAAGGGTACGAATATTACCAGGAAGAAATTTAAAATTTTGTCAAGAGGGACACATTTAAAAGAAACTATACCCTATGATGGGAAGGTAGTTTAAAAAAATGCTACACCAAGTGGAGCTAATTAAAGTTGTTAAATATATTCGGACGAGCTTTGACAAACATCCGGGCTTCCGGTAACCTCGCACATGACAGAACTCGCCTCAACGATATTGCCATGTTTTTCTTTCGTTATAGCCGTTAACCGATCGAAATACGTCATTTCCGGTTCCGGTCTGTAACCGCGGCCACGATATAAAACCGATAGAATTTTAAGAATGAATGGCCTTTGATTATGTCTTTAGCCAATAATTTTATATTCCACTACATATTGGATATTAAAGAATACATACAATACAGTGAGAATAGAATAAGAAGTTATTTAAATAAAATAATAGTCATCGTACATGTTGCAATGAATCGATATAGTCAATAATTAATCAGAGCGTGAATCTAGTTGCACTTTTTATTTCATTGGTTTTTTTTCAATTACAACTTGCAATTTAAACTCGTCACTGTTGAAAAAATTAATGACAATAAATCAAAGTGAAAAATTACGGAATTCGTAAATATTATATGCAGTGAAGTAAAATAATTGCAAAGAAATAATATAAACAAAAAAAATTGTAATTATAAATGTAAAATTTAAACAAAATTTCTGCATATCTATTTTAATTTTTACTATTTCAGAGAAGTTAATTTTATTAATTTCAAAGGAAAGCTTAGAAAAATATTTTTTTAAATAAAAAACTAACTGTACGTTAAAAAATTTTTAATATTATTTACAAAATTTTTAAAGCAGAAAATATTCGTTTTCTCTTCGAAATTGTTTGCAAGCAAAATTTTGATTTTTTTTTTAAATAAAAAGGCAATGACAATTTTTTTATGAGTGAGGTCTAATAAAACATTTTTGCATTATAGTTTTTTCACAAATGAAATTCAGCCACGAATGAAATTTTTCACCAATGAGACATAACTTCTTTTAGTAATAAAAATTTCGACGAGTATTTATAGTCGGCTCAGAATATTTTGCTTAAATACTTTATGTGAATTTTTGCGTGAATAATTTTCAACATTTGTTTGTCAAGAATAACAAAAAAAAAAAATGATTATTGAAAAGATTTTTGTGACCTTAACACTCATACTTTCCATAAGCATTCTGCAAATTAAAACTGAGGATTCTACTAACGTAGGTGAAAATCCAACTCCAAGTCAAACTCAAGCACTAGCTCAAGCAGAAGCTCAAGCTAAAGTTCAAGCTCAAACTCAAGCACCAGCTCAAGATCACAGTCAAGCACCAGTTCAAGCTCAAACTCAAGCACCAGCTCAAAGTCAAGCACCAGTTCAAGCTCAAACTCAAGCACCAGCACAAGCTCAAACTCAAGCACCAGTTCAAGCTCAAACTCAAGCACCAGTTCAAGCTCAAACTCAAGCACCAGTTCAAGCACCAGCTCAAGCTCCAACTTCATCTCTACTTCCAGTTCAAACTTCATTTCAAAGTAATTATTACTATATACGTATAAAAATATTTTTGTTTCTTTATAAACCATGAGTCTCCTCAGAAATGTAAATTAACCAAAAATTACTTTCAATTTTTACATCTTTAGAAGAAATGTTTACTAATATTTATTTTATAAAATTAGTATTAAAAGGTTAACATTTTTTTCACATTCAATTTTATTAAATTTTAGAAGATTGTTCGACGGAAGTAATAGAAATAAACAAACAAGCCGAAAAAGTTTGCGGTAAGATATATAAATTACTGCCTCCCAATATATTTTGTTATTATCGCCAAAAGACAATAAAATAAATTTTTATTAATTGACAGGTGCAAGGTTAACAAGTTACAAAAACTTTGAAATTATGACGAAACTATTAAAAGAAACAATACAATCCTCTACCAATTTATGTAGCAGAGATAAATTATCCGCAATATGTTGTGAAACATTATCCAAAACTCTTGAAAAATGCGGTGAGTTTTTTTTTAAATTCAGAATATTTATCACCATTTTAATTTTAAATTGAAAATTTTACATCTACTACTATCTCTATATCTTTATTATTCTCTATTAATTTATTAAATATTACTTAAAAATGATGTTCCTGAAGTCGCGGCGTCAACGCTCAGCGTGGAAAACTATTATTTGAGGTCGACGCTAACTTTCAGGAACGAAAAAAATGTAACAAAAAGTAAAAAATTATTTTCTTTCAGAGGGCACGCTAGACATGAGAGTTGCACCACTTCAAAAGCGTATGCAGAAACAAGTACTAAGTAAAATTCGTCGAAAACTTTAATTTCGAAGAATACTAAACATAACAGAATGTTATTATTATTGTTTCATAATTAATACCCTTCTTGTTTGTATCTCGGTGAAGAAAATTTGTCTAAATGTTTTTCGAAGCAGGGTATTTTCAAAAAATTATAAATTTCTATTTAAGGCAAAAATTAAATAACTATACCTAACTAATTACTGATGTTATAAAGAATGATAAATCTATTTTAAAAATAAATTTCAAATAAAAATGTTACTTTAAAAATTAGTCAAGCGTTTTTTATTCTTAATCCATGTCCTAATAATTATTTTTATCATGTTACATGAAAAAATAATATATTTGTTTTAAAATCGTAAAAATATTTTCCACGACTATCATTCTTTAGTCATTATTTTTGTTATTGCATTATATATCTCAACAAAAAAAATTATTATTAAAGTAAAATTTTTTTGTAAAGAATTAAAAAAATTATAAACGTTTTCTAAAATTTATTTTTTAGAATAATAATCCATTCATTTTTATAATTATCGCTTAAAAATTATAACTTCAATTACTATCAATACTTGATACTTTAATTTTTTTCTAACGTCAATATAAATTCTAAGAACAAATAAGATTAATTTTGTAAATTTTTTTCTTGACGTGGTCAATTTTATTGTTTTCAATAGACGTGACTCGTAAATTACCCAGAAAAGTTATTATTTCATGCGATCCAGTGACGTAAAAACTTTAAAAAACAAATTGAAAAACTCAGAAAAATTTTAATTAAATTTGATTTTATTAATTTAATGCACATTACATTAAATTTAATTTCGATTCGATTCAATTAAAATTTACTTTAATTTAATTTAAATGAAATTGCAATTTACTTTTATTTATTTTAGAATTTTATTAGTTGCTAATTTAATTTAAATTACCAACAAAAATTAGTATTTTAATTAAAAAATATAAATCATATAAATAATAAAAACATAATTTCAAATTCAAATTAAAAAATAATTTCACGAAACTTGAAATTTGTCACATTATGTTCCACATTAGAATTTTGGAAAATAGATAATATATAAGGAGATAATCTGTCACGTTAAAAAAAGGTGGTTCCTAAAAGTTGGGGGCTCAAAAGACCGTCACTAATGCTAAGAGACCATGGCAAACGCTACTTCCGTTTTAAACCGTCAAAATTTCCCTAACTCCCCATCACTCTCGATACATTTTATCTCAAAATGTTTGACAATCTTTTACATTTTCCTCCCTCCTTATTATTAATCTATGACAGGTGTAATTTTCAAAAAACTTCAAAGAATATTCTTCAAAAAAAAAAAGTTTATCTCCCTGGGAAAAGTAAAAAGATGACAAACAACCATCAATTTTTTCCGTTATGAAAATTTGTCAAAATTGACTTGAAATTTTCAATATTATAATTAACTGGTAATTAATAGTAACAATTAATAATTACTAGTAACTTATAGTAACTAATAATGAACTAATAATTTTTTTACGAGATTTCTGTTTTTGTTGCAAGAAAGTAAAAAATTATTTGATTCAAATAAACGATTATTTTTCTACTTGTCAATTGTCTATCTAATAAATATTTACCTGATAAAAATAATTTCTATTCAAGTTCATAAAATGAAGCTGAAACTGACACCCAGTTAGCAGCACCTACTTAATTTTGGAAATTAAATACTTTTTTTGTTTATAAATTCAAAACTATAACATAAAATTTTGAAAAATTAAGAGGGTGTTGATAACTGGGTGCAAATTTCAGCTTCTTGACTTGAATCAGGTAAATATTTATTTGTTAATACATAAGTAATATTTGAATTAAATTTTTTCCCAGTGTAGAAATTTTTGTTAAACTAATTAGTTTATAAAGAGTGCCTCAAGGCACTCTGAACAATTAAATTATTAATCACTCTACAACTCTCAGAACACACAAAAACTAGAAGATTCAAGAAAGACAACTAATAATTTCTCCAGACAAAATAGCAGAAAATAGCAAAAAATGTCGATTTTATAAAATTCCCATCCACATAATATATGACATAACAAAATATAAGTTAGATGCGGGAATTCAGTTTTGAGCGAAAATAGAAGACCCTTGGTAAATATTTCCTTGGCTACATTGATTAAAATTCGCTGCTGGAATATTAGACCATGACACAATTTCCGTTCACGTAGTATATAAAGGCATCGTGTTGGTATCTATACACAACTACCTGTACTGGTAGTAATATCTCTTTTTCATTCACAATTTACGTGCCATGAATGATATCGCCTGCAACTGTCGTTTTATATACATTAATGAAATTATTTTACTCTCTCTCTCTCTCTCTCTCTCTCTCTCTCTCTCTCTCTCTCTCTCTCTCTCTCTCTCTCTCTCTCTCTCTCTCTCTCTCTCTCTCTCTCTCTCTAAAGAAAAAATTCTTATTTCCATTCAGACATTATTGTAGTTCAAGGCAAATTTTTTTTTTTTAATTCAAAAACTAATTTTAGGATTCACAGTAGACATATATTATATATACATAAATACTGAACTAAATAAATAATTTTCCTTTCAATCACTTTATCGCATCTTTTTATATAAACGTGCCAATGAAAATTCCATATATTGTCAAGGACAGAAAAAAGCACAATAAAATAACAATTGACTTTCCTAAATTGCGCAGCATCTCGTGAAAAAGTTATCCTACCTAAAATATATGACATTATTAGTATATTGTGCAACGAGTGGAATCGTTAGTAAGATAGTATTTTTTCAATGTTTCTTATGTATAATATAAGAATTAGGAACACTTAACGCTCTCTATAAAATATTGAGCGCTTTGCGCTCAAAAAGTATTAAACACTTTGCACTAAAAAAATTCGACGACCCCAAAAACCCCTGGATACCAATTTTTATACGAATCCATAAAATATATTAAAAACTTGACCGCCATATTGAATCCGCCATTTTGAGTTTTTAATATCAGAGTTCAGATTCGTAATTAGCGACCCCGAAAACTCCCGAGTAACTATTTTGAGTAAAATTTAGTGACTTTCCGATAAATTTTCCAATCATTTCTTTTCTGAAAATTGAATCAAATTCATTTTCAAATAAATTTGAAAATAAATTTATATTAAATTTATTTTTGATAAGTAAACTTTGTTGCATTCTTTATTGTACTTTTTCCCTAAAGAATCCTTCTGAAATATAATCCACAAGTTTTGAACGTTTAAATTAATGAAATATTAGTTATTAAAAATATTTTAGAAAATTACTGATTGCAATACAAATTATAAAAACCTAAATTCTACATATGAAAACTTTAAAAATTAATTTTTTTGATAGTGACTCAAAATAATTGTAATAAAATTTAATTTAAAGAAGAAATAAATAAATTTCGTTCATTTAAACAATCAGAACTTTAGGATCATTTGAAAATAGTCAAATTTACTCTCCGGATTTAATTATTGAATAAAATAATGGATTGATGGATTATTTGAATCAAATTTTCCTTCAATGTAAGACAGAGTAAAAACTTTTGCACAGAATAAAAAGATGGCAAAAAATTTTATACTCTATAAGTCCGTAACTAAAATAGCATAATTAGTGATTGTACAGAAAAAGCGAATAAAGTAACTTTTAAATACTTTCCTAGTAAAACCTGAACTTCAAAGAACATCTGCGTGCTGTTGGTAATTTCTATCATTTCCGGAGAATAAATTTTACTATTTCTAAAGTACCTATATTTTAAAAAAAAGGTAGCAAAATTTACTTCGGAAATAATAAAAGTTGACATGTTCTGTAATTTTCTCAAATTAAATGAAAAATAAATTTGTTTCATACTTTTTTTGTATTAGATTACAATTTTATTTTTTTTTAAATTTTCCTACTTTGCCCTACTTGAAAATAAGATTTAGCAAGAGATTAAGATGCAAATCATTTTAAAGTTATGTTTGTATTATTTTCACATTAATTAAAAGTTTCTGTTTAATTTTGTAAAACCAAAATCAGTTTTTATTAATTATTTTAAAAGTAATAATTATTTTTAATAATTTTTGAAAAAGTTCTTTGAGAATTTTCACATATATTTCTTTACAATTTCCCTAATTTGTGGCAACCCTGAAAATGAGCTCAGTCTGTCAGTAAGTTTTACTTTGCAAATAGTGTCGAATTTATGTCGAATAAAATTTTAATTTAAAAGAAATAAAAAGTCTAGTTAGTTCTGAGACCAATATACCTTTATTTAACTCAAATAAAATATATTTGGTTTAAATAATACTTTTCTCTGGGTGTAAATCAAATAAATATTTATTCAGGTTAAATAAACTTTCTTTGCAATAAACTAAAAATTATATCCATACAAAAAACAGACTATTTGATATAAATACAATTTTTTTTACTGTACAACAAAATATACCCAGAAAAAAGATATATTTGACTCAGAGTCAACTATAGACATTTTATTTGTTTCAAATAAAAGTTTTATTCGTGTAGAATAAAATTTAAAACAAATAAATAATTTATTAGATTCTGAGACAAATAATTATACTTTTATTCAACTCAAATAAATTATATTTGATTTAAATAAAACTTTCCCCTGGGCGCAGAATATATTTAATTCAAACATAATTTTTTCCGAGCGTATAAAATCTCACAAGAAAGAAAATTGTCTGGTTTTGTGTAAAAAAAAAAGAAATATATATGTACATAGTAATGGAACGGAGTTTAAAGCACGTTTTTCAGTCATCGTGCTGCTCAATAAAGAAATACACGTTGACCCCGCGCGCATACGCACTGGGGAAGCCTCCCCTTCAATGGGGAGTCTGCCCATTCGCATCCGCTTGCAGGGGTAGCTCCGGCAGATCTTTCATTGAGCGGCTTCCTCGTTTCCGCTTTTCGTTCATGTGTGTCCCCCTTTCACTTCCTTTTCTCATCCCTTCTTTCAACCCTCTTCTTCCTGTCCTTTTCCGTTTGTCACTTCCACTTCCACTACAGAACCAATCATCTCCCTCGAATTTATCATTGACTTTCTTTCACGTCTATACTCTATATCTATATATCATCTTCCATAGCCTCGAACTGTTTTTTTCTTTTTTTTTTTAATGTACATATAAATATCTTTATTATAAAGCCACCCCTATCGGGAGAGAAAATCTCTCAGATCAGGTCAACTTTGCTTCCGTTTTTCACTTTTATTTTTCTACATTTACATCAAGAGTCTCGATTTTTTTTATATAGTACAGAAAAATATTTATTTATTAAAAGATAATTTAATAATTAT